TTGATCGCATAACCTATACAGGCGCGTTTATGAAAAGCTTACGTCCTTTCGCTGAAAAAATCACAAACAAGTACAATAAGAGACATTGTGGTGTTTGGCAATATGCTTTAGAGAGAATAAACATTAATCAAATGTCGATTCCAGAGCTGCTTAACTCTAACTGTCGATCTCTAATTAACAAGATGGACTATCTCCAATTTCTGCTAAGTCAAAACATGTATCGTAATTGTGGTGTCATCACAATTCAAGAATCTTGGTTGACTGACTTACAGGATGATTGCCTAGTATCATTACGTGATTTTAATATCTATCGTCAGGATCGATCAAACAATAAAAAGACCTGTGGTAGCGCAGTAGCTACTGGTTTAATGTTTGTTTTTGTTTTGTTTTCTGGTAAAAAAACTTGTTGAAATAACTCGTGCTGAGAATTCTATGTTGTACCAGATTATAATATTGAATAAAGCCATTAATTAATTTTTGTTTTTAAATTCTACACCTAGGACCTTTTCTCTCTACCTTTAACACAGTATATATATATATATATGAATGTGTATATATCAAACGTCATTCGATTCGAAATATCATTGTGAATTCAAAATACTTATCGTGCAACTAATGTTTTATTAAATTACTGTTGAAAGGTGTAAAATTGAGGTAACTGGATTAGGTAAATATTAATCAAATCAAGCTTTCTATTCCTGACATTGGATGAATAATTGATTATATGTATATCTAACAAAATAAATGTCACCAATGATAATGTTGTCAACTAAGAATTTGTTATAAAGAGATGATTAAATCGTTTTACATTAATAAGCTAAGTTGTTTTCGCTTAATTTGTAATCCTTATTAACTCGAGTAAAGTATCAGACTGGTGGGTCCTGAGTTCGAATCTCGAGAAGCAAAATCATGGATGTGCACTGCTGAGGAGTCCCACAATAGGAGGAGTTGGCCGTTCAGTGCTTCAAAGTTTTCCTTAGTGGTCTAACTTCAATTGACTCACGATTTGAACTATGAAAATATTAAATCTTCACAAAACCCCTTCTGATCATATACATATTCTCCTAATTCTAAATCTCATTCTTAACTTTATTAATTTTATAAAAAAAAAGGTGACAAAGTTTAATTGCTGGTGTCAGTTATTGATGTAAACTTTAACCGTAATTCGTAATCCTTACCCATAACTTCAAATCAACTCCGAATTCCTAATCACAGTTTTCTACATTTTAGCTGATATCTTTTGCGACTAAAACTATTGGATTAAAACTTTAACTCATAACACTAACTCGATTCCTAATTCTTGGGATGATCCTGCAAATTACTCGCAATAGACAATAACAATCTCATGAAACATTAAGAAGCATTTTATCCAATCAGCGTTTGATTAGAAATTTTGCTAGAAATATCACGAAAATGTCACATGTATAGTTACTGATTGGCTGATTACTACACTGCTACTATGTTTATAGTAGCACTCTAGAATTGTCAAAATAAACCCAAGAACTTCTAAAAGACTATAAAAATTCAATATTTTCTGTACATAAATGAATTTTTGAAGTAAAGTGTTTCTCGTATATTTTGTACATTTTCTTTCGTGTTTAAGTCACTGTATAATTCTAGTTTGAGAGTTACGAGACTAGCTTAGGATTCGAGTATAACAATGAATCAACAAGATTTATCACTAATATAAAAACTTTTAATTCAATATGTAAAGTTTAATTAGTCATATGAAAAGTATTATTGTACTGTAATTTCATAGTTAATTATTTGATAACTAAACTACTTTCTAAGTGGTTAATAAGTTGCTCAAGGTTTCCAGTATAGTTTACTTTTGGAAAATTTTCTTAAAAATTTATCACGTGTTTAATTTATTGAAAAGTACATAGTAGTAATAAGTTCATTCTGTTATTATATAGTAAAAATAAGTTCGAATTGAATATTTTAATAAATCATTTCAATAATCCTTCATCAAATCTAATGGTCAATCTTGTCTTTTTTTAGATAAGAATTTTCGCTTACATGATTCCTTAATTATTATCTCATCATGTTGTGGTACGGTCTACTTATATCCATATAAGTAGTATATGGTGATGGTCATATATAGAATGTATTTTGGAAGAAGATCAATAAGGAAAGAACAGGAATGAAACGCAATTGGTACAAAAATACACAAACAATGAAATTAGAGAAAATGGATTGATATTTACAGAAGGAACAGTGAAGATTGAAACAAATGGTTGTTAATTTGCCATTTAACTGTTGGCTGTATGGTTAACAGAATTTAATGAGATAGTCTGTAATTTGCGTTTAAATACATTCTATTGTCCCCAACCAGTGTTCTAGTTCACTACAATATCACTTTACTAATCTACTGACGAGTTTTCTGAAAATTGTTTGAGGAAACTATAAGAAATTTTGTGGTTTACACCAAAAACTGAACACAAAAATAATAATCACTGATATCTGGAAAGTGTTGGACATGTATTTTGTCCTGATATGGGTCCTCATAGTACGAATTCACGACCACATTAGGGGCTTCAGATATCGCGGAAAGCGCTTAAGCCGCAACCACTGGAGACAATGCTCGGACGACCATCTGCTTCTAGCAAGCTTTAACTTTAAGCATAAAGGAAAACAATATGATAAGGCCACCCCCATAATCAACTCAACTATGAACTTAAATAGACCACATTAACTTCAGTTACCGTTGGAGAGGCTCCATAGAAAACTATCACTCATTCCAGTGCACATGTTTAGACTATGATAATGTTGTAGTACAAGCACTTACTTACCAGCGCTTACTTGGATGAAGAAAAGTGACTGTGAGAAAACCCTTAATATTAAACCTGATGACGAAAAAGTCACGAACATATTCCAGGTACAGCTAGGAACGGAATTAGTCAACCTTGTAAGCGATATCCACCACGAAGTAGTCTGCAAGATATTCAACACAGCTGTGGAAACAGTAGCGGTATCTACCAGAAACTTGAAACTAAAGTTTGAAACCAGTGAATTACAGCAGTGTTTACTGAACTAATAGATCCTTTGAAACTCATCCAATCTGGCTACAAACACAACGAGTAGTGAATGCAGCTCAGACTCCGGAGTATAAAAAGCCTATCTAATTACCGTGAGTCGTTGTGGGTAGGGAAAGGAAAAGTAATGGGAAGGGCAGTGCCAGTAAGTTACAGTAGAAAACTTTCCAGACTCATCTAGTAGGTCAGTGTTGAAAATCCGGCTGTTATTGAGACTATAGGAAAATGGTAGAGCGATTATTCCCTCTCAATTCAGGGAACAGTTCAACTTTTTATCAAATTGTTTCACCTAAGATCGATGTTTCCTGCTTTACACCAAACTACTTATTATTACTCAGTAGTTTGAATTATATTTAACCGTTTTATGATTGGCATAAATTGGTGGGAATTTTGACCTGCTGAACAATTTAGTCAATCAGTAAGCAATATCAGTTTAATAATTCATATTCTCTACTTCGTATTTCCCTCGTGTTTTATTTTTATTGTGCATACGAAGTTTACGTTATAGTGCGTTAATCGCTGATATTCGCGCTGAGTGAATTCATGTGCTATTTTATGATCGTATGTAGTGTAATGAAGAATGTTTTCTAGTCATGCGACCCTCGTTAAGATTGTTTTTTAAAGACACTCCCTACACCGAAAACCATGAATGCAAATGTACGAATCCTGCGCGTATTTCATCTTTTATAACTACCTCATATTCTGATTTTTTCAATTGTTGTTAGGTTAGAATTCTTGGTATAATCCCATAATTATTAGAGTTTTTTTATAATAATTATGTCTGTAATTACGATTAATGATCACCATTTGCAGTAGATGACTTTTTATCCCGACCATATACTACTAATATATCATAGGTTCACTGTTTGTTGACCAATATCGATAAGAGTGAATCAACCAATAATACTTGAGTTGAGCGCTAACCATTTAAGACTTATTGATACCAGGCTGATTATTATTCTAACCCATAAACTCATAAATCAAACTGCACCAGTTATTATTTTAAAACCACTTTGTTTATTGATTCATGTTGTTGTCTTCTTGCTAGTCTCTGATAGGTGTGTATTTATTGTTGTTGTTGTAACAGACTTTACTACTTTGCGTTTATGTACCAAATGTATTAATTTACATCTTAGAAAACATTGTGATTGTTGACAGTATACATAGTTACCATTTTTAACCATAGCCCCTCTATAAATTTATGAGGAAAATATAGGGACTTATTTGGGAAATTCATCGGCAGATTAATTAAATCCTACACTGGTAAATTGCAACACCATACGGGGACAATGCTTCAAAGGTACTGATACTCAAATATGTCTTACTGATCCATGACCTCCACTTTCACAATCATGAATCAGCATAGGCAAACAGAAATCTCAGACCTGGGACGTAAACGGTAATAGTTTGACACTTAAGCCAAATAAGCATATTCAGTCAGTCAGTCACAACATAGAACTTCGTAAGTACGTACATTAGTTCGAGTTGCCATACCACATTAGCACAGAGATGAAGTTGTCGATTCAAATACCATAGTGGTAAAAGTAGTAAGAATATAATCAGTAATCGGAAAGATTAGGGTTTGAAGATGTTATTCAAGGAGTATAATCCAGTGAAATAAATTTGAAAAAGAGAAAAAAGATAGGGACATGAAGAATTCAGAAGATTAGAATTTGGTAAAACACAAAAAGTAGATGCATCTTCACCATTGCAAACGATTTTGAGCCATATCATTCAAGGTCTCTAACCATCGATTGCTATCATATCGTGAATCCTAACCAGGTAGTCTACACCTACCAACATGGATGAGTCCACTTGTCAGTGACTTCATGGATTTGTGCCATGTTTTAGTCTGGCCACTCCCTACCTTTCATCTAACCTACTCCTACACTATAAAACCATATTTGTGGTATTGATGTTGAGATTTACTCATTAAATAATCTACCAAAAGGCAATCGAGAATTTCACATAAGATCAGAATTTCTTTTAGATTGTTGAGTGATTCATTTACATTTTAATACTGACAAAGCTTAAACAATAGAAATGATTTTAAAAAATGTAGATTTTTGTCCAGTAAATTATCAGTTTCAATGGAATGTTACATAACAATAAAAATTTCTGATGAATCAAGAAAAAAAAATTCTAAAGCCAATAAATAAAAAAATTAACCATTTAAAAAGGGTTCGAGCATGTGTGTGTGTGTGTGCAGTGTATATATGAGATCGTATCCCCCCCTTTAAAAATATAAAAAAGAATACAAAGCCAGAAAATGCGGGAAACAAGATTCTTAAAAGAGGAAGGATATATCATCAAAGAAGATACCCATATACACATACACACACACACACTCATTATAAATTTACACTAAAATCTAATTGAATAAATTGATATAAAAAAAAGTAAGTCAAAATACAAAATGAAGAATCTATATAGGGATATTGGTATTGTTACGGTATGTCTGCATGTGTGTGTATATATATATATGGTAGTCGATCCCAGTAGAAGTTTATTCTTAGTATATATATATATAGTATACATAGTACATATATATATCTTCATCATTTGTCTTCTTCACGAATGGAGCACATAGTACCAGATATTGAAATCTTTTAAGATATATATTAAATAATTATAATCATTCAATAGTACAGTTTCCATCTTGTTATGAAGATATTCAACGAAGAAGGATATATGTGTGTATAGATTAGCCAAATCGTTCTTTGACAATAGCTAAAGCATTTGTACCAATCGGATCAATTTCACGATATTCAATATGTTCATCATCTAGTTGATTAATAGTACTATTAGTAGTAGCAACATTATTACTAGTACCATTACATGATATTAAAGTTTTATTTGAGTTTAAGAATACAGATGAATCCGATTGAGAAGGAGATAGTAGAGGATTGATGTTAGTAGAAGTGGTAATAGTAGTAGTAGTAGTAGAAGAAGAAGACAAAGAATGAGGATGTGTCAAAGACATAGTTATTGTTTGTTGTAAACCGCCATTTGTTGATAACTGCTTATCAAATGAATTCGAACAAACAGTATTAGACATATTCAATGAACCTGTAACATTAGATGAAATATCAGAATTTATTATTGTTGTTGTTGTTAAGATAGGCGAAGCTGACCCAGTTTTTAATACTGATGTTGTTGTCAGTGTATTTGTTCGAGATGACGACAAATTACTACTACCACTACCATCAACACTACTATTGCCATGTTCTTTTGAACATTGAAAAGTGCGTAAATCCAAATTATATGGTTCAATATAGTTTAAATGTGATATTTTATTAATAGAAATTCCAGATTTTGTAAGGGTAATATTGGAGTTTGGCTTAAAAAGAAGTTATAAAAAAGAAATTCATAAAACATTATGTGAACATGTTGAAAAATAAACACAAATGAGTTTAACATGGCTATCTTAACATAACAGCCTACTAATCTAACCGATATCATATTTTTATTCCTGTAAGAGTACTGAAGAAACTTGTGGAGAACCACGAAAGCCATCATCCAGAAGATACAAGTGTTTATTAACAGTTGTCTACACAAGATACTTCGGATCAGATGGCCATACACTTTCAGCAACAAGTTACTCTGAGAGACAACAAACCAGATTCCAGTCGAGGAAGAAATCAGGAAGAAGCGCTAGAAGTGGATAGAATACACATTGAGGAAATCACCCAATTGCGTCACAAGACAATCCCTCACATGGAATCCTGAAGGCCAAAGGAGAAGAGGAAGACCAAAGAACACATTACGCCGACAAAGGGAGACAGACATGAGAAGAATGAACAAACAATGGATAGAACTAGAGAGGAAGGTCTAGTATAGAATGGGTTAGAGAAAGCTGGTCGGCGGCCTATGTTCCATTGGGAGTGACAGGCGTAAGTAAGCAAGTAAGTAAGTAAGAGTACTGAAGAACTATTCGAGAAAGTACATCCAGAAGTTATTGTAAAATGCCTAAAAATACTTAGACCGATAAGTGTTCTTTGAAAATTTTCAAGAGATCCCTACAAGACAACTTGGTATATTTTCCTTAACTTATATCGAAAATTAACGAACCTGTATAATTCTATGAATACAATTGTGATTTATAATAAACTTTCAAGCTAAAGATTCTAAATTTGTCACCTATTCTCTATTTAAAGTAAAAAAAGTAGACGATTTTTTACCGACCTGGAAGAGGTATGGAAATTAGTGTCAAAGGATTTAAGTGAGTGACAGATCATATACTTCATATAACTAGATAATCTACAGATTGGTATTTGTTATTCTTATCCAGAAAACCTCACTAAGAGATACTTATGATTACAAGACACTCAAATTTCACTTGGAACAGATTTATGTTAAATCAATGAGTTGGGATCAAATAGAATACACAATTGTTTACTTATCTAAGAACTATTCTACTAATAAGTAATAATTTTGAAAAAAAAGGAACTATAACTTGTTACTTTGTTTTTCAGAATGGAAAAAAAAACATGAACAACTTTGACCAGTTTTTGCTGACATATATGAACTCTATGATAGTTACTTCGATATATTTAGAAAGATACAACTTATATAAAACAGAAGCACTGGAAGCACTGGTTTTCCAGATTTTCCATGATGATCTAGCTTTTATTGACTCATGATTTCAACTATAAAATAGATAACTAAAAATCATATTATCATGACCCTGGTGTTTATTTGCATTTCATCATTATACCTATTAGCAATGATGACTTGGTAAAAAAGATAATATTGTTAGTGTAAGGTGTTGTGCAGATTGTTGAATTTAAAGTTACATATCGTTTACTGGACTAACGCGAGTTAAACAACTATTAGCGACCGGGAAACACTGGGCAGATACTATACACTGTAATGAGATTGCTCAGCAGTTTAGATTTGCTGATCTTATCAGGCATTGAAATTAAGAACTTGAGATTAGGTAGTGAGTGTTTTAGCCTTTGGACCACTGAGTTAGTATGGTTTATTCCCAATATATCTAATATTTACTACCTCAATAACATGGTGGATAGCTAGTGTGCTTTCAAAAATGTAGATTTCCGACAAAGCAAAAAGGATGACTCTCCTAGTTATTATTGTTTTAGGCAGAAAGTGATTATCGAACACTATGAATCTTCAAAAAAATACCGCATTTTAATTTTTATTAATGTTTAGGATACTATTACTTAGTTTCAAGAGTGGTTCTTCCAAGAGTGCAAGGGGAAACCATGATACTTGAACAGTTAACATAGTGTATGTGAATGTGAGCCTATGTATGACATTTAAAGAGGACCTAGGTTACATTACGAATCGATTGAACTTGGGAATTCCAGATTATTGGATGAATACCTGATTAGTTTAATATTGTATGAAACATAAGACTTGATGGTACTTAGTTCGTTTCTGCTATGTGTATAGTAGGATTAAGCGTCGCTGATTAGCCTGACATAACCATCTTAGTTCTATTTTACTTTATAATGCGAATTTCTCTTCAGTGAAAAATATTCAGCCAGTTCTTAAATCAAGTTATTTCAACAGTTTTTCCATCAATGATGATGGACGAAAACAAGATAACCATCATATCGAAAGTAATACTTACTTGATTTTTGTCAATTGCATTTATGCTACAATGATGATCTACCAAAAGTATTCTATTCTCTTTATTGTCTTCATTGATCTCCCTATCCACCATATTGTGATTTCGATCTAGATTATCATCACCATTAATATTATTATTATTATATTCATTGTTATCGCAACCATCATTAGCATTTTCATGAGTTGTATCGTTGAGGACGGCGATATTCACATCACTAGAAGTACTACTACTATTTAAACTACTATCTACAGACATATCTAATCCTTTTGCACGAACTGGTAATGGTGATTCTAAACTGATATATATATGTGTGTGTGTGAAAATAAAGAAAATGAAAGTAATACTTTACAAAGTTATAACCCAAAACAGAGAGTTAAGCATAATTTAAAGTATAACAACAGAAAAAAGGAAATTCAATCAATGATTAAAAGACTTCTAATGGTTACGAAATTTATAAGTATTTCAGTATAGGACGAAACAGCCGTCCAGTGCTTCCCGGTTTTCCACTGTGATCTAGCTTCAATTGACTCATGATTTCAACTATATATAAAAAATTACTAAAAATCTCCACACAAAAAACCCCTATTTCAGTATAGCTTTGTCTGATTGTGTTTCGGTAACATAAGAAACATATTCCTTAAATGGTTTACACTCATCAAATCACAATTCATTTAATAAATGACAACTCAAAAACATGTTACGTTCTAGTTCATTTAGTCCATATGTAATAGAATTGATACATATAAGTATATGAAGTTGGAAGGTTTTAGCATTGGGATGAATATGATGTCATTTCAATGTCTCCCAGAAACGTTTAGGATACTCAGTACTTCCAACATAGCTTTCAAAAAAGGTAATCTCTTATTTCATTATTCTTCAAATGCCATATTCTTATTTATTATTTATTTAAGCACATAAATATTGGTACAAGGAAGCACCAAATATATATGCACCACACAAATCTCATTTGATTTGTCTGAGCGCTGTGATACTACTCAGGTGCCCAAACTCAAACAAGTGGTTTTCTAAGGGGACCACACCAGAGCTTTGACCTAAAGATCTGATCCACAAGGCAGTGGAGCATCGTGAGTGCATGCAGTCCCATGGTAGACGGTGACCAACGATTGATTCATAAGCCGTTTGTTCCCTCAGGATAGTGGAGCCTATGCACACCATTAGTTTAGAATCAGGGTTTTCCAACTCCCGTAGGTGAACCTTACGTTTCCACCAACCCGGTTAAAGCGCCGGACATTCGCTTTTCGTCCTCTTAATTTCGTAAACAACAGCCGTGGTCGAGAAGGCAGTGAGTAGGACATTAAACATTAATGCCATATAAATCATCGTATCAATGCTATTAAATTTCCATCAATTTAACATATTTCTGGGATGTTATTCTTTCCATAAACTGTTAACTGGTGAACACAAACACTTTAAGGATTATGTTTTTAGTGTCACTGAAAAACAATCACAGAAAACTAAACTCAAATACTTGAAAGACTTAAAATGAGTAGAAGGAAATAATAAGTTGCATGAAAATCCCGAAAAATTATGAATAAAAGACCTGTACAATAAAGGAGAGCATATGTTATCAATTATCATGATGTATAACTTAATTAGAGATTAAAAATTGAAATTATATTTGTAGAATTCTTAATTCTTGAAATAAGGAGTTTGAAGATCTTCATGGGCAAATAAATGTAGTTGGCCGTTCCATTTTACTACAGGACTCCCCAGTAATACACAATCTTGTACGCAGTAATATGATAGGAAGTAATTCAAATTGTTGCTTCCTTGTTTCCACTGCCTGTTTAACTAAAATCAGTCTACTAACTCAAAAATCATCATGACTCAATACACGGATATAATGTTGCTGAACACTTATTGACCACAAATTCTATGTATTACGCATCATGTTGTGTATTATCGAACAACTTTGAAATTGTCTTTCTACCTAATAAAAGTAATCTTTCATTAGTACACACTAGTTTGGAATTCGAAAAAATCTCTTATTTAATGTTAGTATCGCCAACATTACACGATCGACCGGATATTTAATATTATTTTATTGAGATCATCAATCGATCCAAGTTAAACGCTGAGAACCAGAAGGCACACGACACACATTTCGTGACAGTATGGAACTTCTCAACAAGGAGTAACCATAATTCCAACGTGGATCAAAATTATCACTCTGTTTCGTTCGTGAACGCTTAATTTTTAGACCAGTGAGTCAGAATCAAATAGTGTACAAGTTTAATTTCATTCAATTCATGATACTCCTCGACCATCTTCTATTGTATTCATCAGGTAACTTCCTCACATCGGACATAGTTAGACTCTACTTGTGTTGTCCTCACACTAGAACTCTGGAGTTTTCTTTTTCAAGTTTGTCATTAGTAAGCACATGATATTTACTAATGTAAGTTTTTGTGAAGATTATTGAGTTTTATGGAATCATGAACTGAAGTAAGTTCGACAACTATTGAAAACCTGATAATTTTTGTACTTAAATTCCCTAAATAGTTACTAAGGTGAAATTATCAGTCACTCAATCACAAAGTAGAACTTCGTACGTACATACATCAGTTCGAGTTGCCATACCACATTAGCACAGATATGAAGTTGTCGATTTAAATCCCATAGTGGTAGGAATAGTACGAGTATAAGCAGTAATCGGAAAGATTAGGGTTTGAAGATGTTATTGAAGGAGTATAATACAATGAAATAAATTTGGAAAGAGAAAAAAGATAGAGACATCAAGAATTCAAAAGATTAAAATTTGGCAGGACACAAAGAGTGGATGCACATACGCCATTACAAACGACTTTAAGCCATGTCATTCAAGGTCTCTAACCATCGGTTGCTATCATCTCGCGAATCCCAACCAGGTAGTCTACACCTACCAACATGGCCCAGTCCACGTGTCCGTGACGTCATGGATTTGTGCCAAGTTTTGGTCTGGCTGCCCCTAGCTTTCTTTCAACCTACTCCTACACCATGAAACATCGCTCGTTGGAGCAGTCAGTGGTTAAGAATACGTAACACGTGCCCAGCCATCTCAATTGATGAGGTTTCACTACTTCATCAATCGATTCGCCATCCTTACCTAGTACCCGTTTCCTAACAAATGCATTACTTACTCGGTAGTCCCATGATATACGAGCAATGCTTCGAAGACACCTATGATCGAATACTAGCAGCCTACGAATATCCTTCACTCTTACCGGCCATGTTTCACTGCCATAAAGTAGGACGGAACGAACTGCTGCACAGTAAACCCGCCTCCTTTGGTTGCTAGACGGATAACTCGCCTACGCCATAAATGACGCAAGTTGGCGAAAGCTAGTCGAGCCTTATGTATTCGTGCTGAGATTTTATCACACACCAGACCACAAGGGCTGATGAGATTCCCAAGATAAATGAAGCGGTCAACAAATTATCACAGAATCATCTTTGTTGCTATATTGATATAATGATGTAATGAGTAAAACTCATGATTTATTTTAGCATTTCAGTCTTATCAGCTCATCGATTATACAATTGAACTATATATAAAATCTCATTGTCTGTTTTACTATCGACAAACTATACTGATTAATTACTGTCTTATAAAATACAATATTCATAAGAATCTAAATACCTTGATACATTTAGGATTGTCAATTTTATCCAATATTTATAATGGAATGAATACTTCTTAATTATTTTAAACATTCTAAGTACTATGCAAAGATATTTTTATTGTTCATTAAGTGTGATTAAAAGTTGTTGTTTTTTTAATTCCGCTCAAAAACCCTAAAATACTTTTTTTATCATTCTGATTAACTTGTCTCTATATTATATATCTTTATCTTTTACGATGCATGTATGAGAATTCCACGTCGCGCATTATTCACCGACGCTGGGACTGGTTGGAAAAAGCGGAGAGGTGGTCAGTGTATGACATGGTATCGTGGTATGAAAGAAAACTGTAAAGGGCTGGCTTCTGTTGGTCCTTCACGACTGCCTGGTTAGGGTCCGAGAGATGGTGAAACACAGCGGCTAGAGACGTTATCAGACAAGGCTCAGAATAGAAGCCAGTAGTGATCCTGCTGTAACTTTATTTTACTTTCGTCATAACTTCCTAAACTGAAAGAGATCTTCTGGTTGTACATTTCTATTTCCCCCATTACTATTTTTATTATACACTAACATAAACTCTGTGATTCTTGTTGTTCCTTCTTTTCTTTTTTCCTTTTTTATTTTTTATATGCACCTTACCCCTTTTCTCTTTCCATTCTCATTGTTTTGTATGGCGCATATATATCTGGTGCCCCCTTGTACCAATATTTATGTGTTTAAAGAAATAAATAAATATAAATGTATGAGAATTTTTATCAGGTTAAATTCAAAACAAATTAAGTTCACAAACTAATGGTCAATCAGTCAGTCAGTAGGAGCCCCCAAATGCCCTGGTACGGTCGAGAGTGAGGAGAGCCCGTTCTTCCCCTCGAAATGCTCTTATATGGCCACGCGTGTCTAGCCTCGGCCATGAAAGTCCTACTCACTGCCTTCTCGTGGTATTACTGTTGTTTACCAAATTGAGAGGACGAAAAGTGAATGTCTGGCGCCTTGACCGGGTTGGTGGACACGGAAAGTCCATCTACAGGGAGTTGAAACAACTTGATTCCAAACCAATAGTGCACATGAGTTCCAGTATCTTGGGGGAACAAATGGTGTATGAATCAATCGTTGGTCACCGTCTACCATGGGACTGCATCTACCTACGATGCTCCACTGCCTTGTGGATCAGATCTTTAGGTCAAAGGCTCAGGGTGTCGCTCCCTAAAGAAACCACCTGCTTCAGTTTGGGCACCCGGGCAGTATCACAGCCCTCACACAAATTAAATGAGATTTGTGAGACGCATATGTATTTGGTGCCTCATTGTACCAATATTTATACATTTAAATAAATAAATACAGTCAGTAGGGAGTTAAAGACATGTATTAAACACGTCCCACATTTATTCTTTTTAAGGTATAATCATTTTTAGTCTAAGTGTAACTATTCATCTAATATTTTTATTCATTTGGCAACGAATTTTATGCAAATATTTTTATTATGAATCATCACTTTTGTTAGGCTAATTAAATAACATGATTAAGATCAGTAACAATGTTGTTTCCGCCTCTCATTCTTATTGTACATGTTAAGATAAGAATTTGTTAGGCAGTTAAATAATCATTACACTTTCAACTCTTTAATCCCTTTTGAAATTGAATAAATTTGTCAAGGATGCTAGATCTTTAAAAGTCAATCGGTAAACGTCTTATTTTTGTAATTTTATTTTGAAAGTTTCAATTTCTCGTTTTCGCTCCAAAAGCGCCAACTTTTAGCTTCAGATTGTATTTCCCACTTGGAATGACAGCTTAAATATAATTGGTTCGTTCGCGCTTTTAAGACGCTATTTTGTTACGTTTCCCAAGGATACTGCGTACAAACGCTTCAGTTGTGCACTTATTTGTTAGTGCTTTCGACTGCTTGTGGAATATATATTTCTCTCCGTTGGATTTGGTCTTCTACTCCTAGTTCGCGGGCCTGAGGCGCAGTGAATAACTTAGCTTTTCTTGTCGTTGTGTCTCAGATTATCGTTTTGTTCGCCAATTTTAGGTGATCTCGTAATCTCTTTAAACGAAGCGAAATTGTAACTTTATTATGGCTTCAAGAGATATTTCCTGGAGTTCTAGTGAGAAGCAGTGACCAGCGGAGTTCAACTGTTTCTGTTGTGAGGCAGTTACTCACTGAAGACAATAGTGGACGGTGGCGCAATTCCGTGGATCGGTTGAAGTTAGAGATTAACACGACTGGATGCCGGATCAGCGGTCTAGAGGTTAAGTGTTCGCGCGAGAGACCGAAGGTCTTGGGTTGGAATCCCGAGTACGGGATACGAATACGCACTGTTAAGGAGTACTATACTAGGACGAAACGGCCAAACAATGCCTTCAGGTTTTCCATGGTAGTCTAGCTTCAATCGACTCATGAATCCAATTATTAAATTAGTACAGTCTCCACAAAACCTCCAATCTGACTTAATTATTTGCGTGCTTTAAGTTCCTCCTGTCTTCATAGTCAATAAAAATTGATGATTATCCGTAAGGGGTTGTGAGATTATGGAATTTCATTGAAATCATGCACCAATCTAAGTTAAACAACTATGGGAAACTTGTTAGCAGTAGAGGAGCGTTTCGTCACAATGTAGGTCTCCTCAGCAGTGCTCGTCCATGACCTCTCATCTGGAAGATGAATCTCGCGCGTAAATGCCTAACCTCTCGACCACTGAGTTGGGATCCAATGATGAACAAGTTTAACTGTAGTCAACCAACCTAAATGGGTTCGTGATTCCAATAAAATTCAATCATTTCGACAACAGTATGCTGACTATCACGCGATAAATAGTGACTAACTTCAAGAGGACATTTACGGAGTTCCAGTGAGAAGACATGACAGGTAGAGTTCAACTATGTCGGATGTGGGGAAGTTACTCAATGAATACAATGGAAGATGGTCTAGGAGTATTATGAATTGAATGAAATTAGACTTGTACAATATTGGATTCTGACTCAATGGTCTAGAGACTAAGCGTTTGCCTTGAGACCTGTAGAAACACAATTTGATTCTAGACTTTAAGGTCGTAGACATGCACTTCTGTGGAGTCCCATACTAGGGAGAGACAGCTGTCCAGTGGTACCTAAACTGAAATCAATTTGAGACGAATACAAACTAAAAAACGAACTGAATCTATCGTTACTATCTCATATTTATTAGAAGCCGATGATTAAAGCTAACAATAAATGTGATGCAGTTTCTATTAAATGGCGGCAACAGTGTTCAAAAAGAAATTATTGGAAGTAAATATAAACCGTTAATGAGATACCTAAAGTAAAAGACTATTCAGAAATCTGTAACCTAGACCTTAAATATATATTAAAGTACTCCAGTTGAAAGCAACCAATCTTCAATTGAACTTTTGACGAAATCTTAGACTGGCAACGGACAATTTTCCTCGAAATCCTTAGAACATGGTCAAACTACTACCTTAATTGTTTTAAACTGATTTCAATGCAGGGTAATAACACTCTAGAAATCATCCCACTATCTAAGATCACTAGCCAGATCTTTTTCGAAAAGAAATGAAATAGAGATTTTTAACTTAACAGATGGATTTTGAAGATATTGTATTTTCAGAACAGAAGCTAAGAGAACATCCAAAACCTTCATAATCAAACAAAAGAGAAAACCTCGTACACCAAATACTTCAACAACAAAAACTAAACATTAAAAAACACAAGGACATACTTTAATCCTGATAAAACGTTAGTTGAATTTGTAAATGTAGGTGGCAATGTAAAAGACGATGATTTCAAAGGTGACATACGTGGCGGTGGTGCAGGTTTACGACTTATTTTTGTCCCTGTTTCTGTTTTCATTAGTAAACACTGACGACCAGATTTTTGATCAAATGATGAATGAAGAAGTGGAGAAGGTGAAAGTGTACTACTACTTCCTGGTACACAATGACTTTTACGATAAATTCTTGTATTCTGTGTAATTTGATTATTTCGTTTTAAGTAAATTTCTGAATCAATAATCGAATCAGTTGTGACAGAAGTAGTATCATTAGTAGTAGTAGTAGTAGTAGTAACTGTACGTAAAGAATAGACAAAAACTTTTATTGTTTTATCATTGATCCTTCAGAGCATGTGTATGTCACAATGAAACTTATCAACAAATAAATAACTCCAAAAAATTAAATTAAAACTGAATCCAGTATTACGGATTGTAAGCCATTGAAAACCAGGAAGCGCTAGACAGGTATTTCGTTTCAGTTCAGGAATCCTCAGCAGTGAGCATCTATGCAATAACCGAGGATTAAACCTAGAATCTTCAGGTCTCGTGACTCCTGCATAAACTTTAAACATTCATGTATATTTTTTCCAATCCCATTGGTGCTTGACTATCAAGAAAGTGTGAAGTAGCCCAGAGCATTCGTCCTTTGATAATCGTTTATTCATTCTTATTGTAACACGCAACCAAGGTCATTCGAAAGGACTGTCAATTTGATGATAGATCCTCTAAGGTTTACAAGTCAAGAAACCTAATAGGAACAGTTACTTATCACAGGAAACCAACGGTCCAGACCCGTTTTAATCAGTGATGATAGAATATATGGATGATTAGTCACCATCATAATGGTAACTTTAACAAACAATATATCTCTATATAAATATGTTACTTTTTATTTCCCAACTCATTTATCAGATATATATTTATGTACCACGCTTCGAGTCAAGTGTGGGAGCTGGTGATATGAACCATCCGCCCAAACTGAAATATGTGGGGTGGGGTGGGGTTTGACCCTCAGATTTAGCAGCCGAAAGTTGAATACCTTAACCCATGAATCGATGCTTTATTGTGAAGTAAACATTCAGTCACAGTTGGATACATCGCAAAAATATTTCGTGTGAAAGTAAACAAAAACAATGACAATAACAGAGACTACTAACCTTTAGACCCATCTTCAGAATCCCAGACATTATAGTAGACGCTGTTAGAAGAATTTTGGCGCTTTAATGAGTTTTTGGAAGAAGAAATAGTAGGATTGTTTACATGATGATATTTGTTCTTCTGATCATTAATGTTGTCTGAAGTACGATGATCAACATTCACGTATATTATCGATAGTTAAGAGGAAAAAAGAAAAGGACAGAAACCAATCACATTACTACAATTTCAGTAAAATGACAAAGGCAGTAATCATACTGACAAGTAAACAGTAGATATTTCTAGCTTTTATAAGATTGTAGCCATCCACAAACCATCGTTGAGAATCAAAATTACGTTGGTTAATCTACCGTTGATGTGGTTTTCTGTTCCGTAGTTCAAGTTGCTTAGTAAGTTGTCATTAACGCTTGACTAAGAGACTCTTCATAGGAAAAGGATCAAGAGTCCTTAGGAAGCTTTATCGTTAAAAACCGAATAATAATACTCACAGCCCATTTATACTGATAGATTTTTGGAAAGACAGAACTATGTTAGAAATGACCTTAATAACATGAATAACTCGTTTAGTCATAATGACCCACCCAAACTTGTCACTCATTTATAATGTGGCTATGCAATATTATGCGATCAGTCTAGCTTTGCACAAAAGACCAAATAGTAAGCAGTACTGCTTTTTGTAATCAATCACTTATCATAATACTATTGAGTGATATTTGTACAATTTAGTATAGTATTATGAAGTGAGTGGATAATTATTTGCTATCTACTTAGTAAATTCTATTTCCATTTAATGACAGCAAGAAATATACATATACACGGTATAAAGAGATTTCGGAACTCAGGTAATAAGGCTAGACAAAGAATGAATGTACTTGCACTGTCGGTAAACATTCTAAGCCATGTCACCCAAAGTCCCTAGTCATCCAATTATGATAATCCTACATACCTCAACATGATAATTTAAACCTAAATATATGGCAAAGTCCAACAGTCAATGACTTCACGGACTGATTTTATGTCTTGGTTTGGTTGCCCATAGCTTTCAATTAACTACAACAACAGACCACATCGCCAGTTGAGGTAGGTGGTGGCTGAACATACATAATATACGTCCCAACTACTTCAATTGATGAAGATTTACTACCTCACCAACAAGTATCTCATCTTTACCTAGTACGCAATGTCTAATTTCAGCATTATCTACTAAGTGGTCCCAAGATACATAGGCAATGCTTTGGAGACATATATGATAGAAGACTAGTAACCTAGAAATATCCTCTATTCTTGTTGACCATATTTCACACCTATGAAACATAACGAAGCGAACTACTGAGCACTAAACTCGTCCTTTGATTGGCAGACGGAAACCGCACCTACAGCACAAATGATGTAGGTAGGTAAATGCTGGATCCGTCCCGACATTCCATGAGACACTAACCCCATCAGAGCCGATTAGAAGTGATCGACACAGTCAACTACTTTAAAATCGAATCAAAAAATTCTTTACAATGATATAAAATTTAATACTGAGTAAAACTTTTTTTACCTATCCGCTTTATACTACTGTCATTAACTAATGGATAGGATACAAAATTTGTTACCTTGAGAATTAAATGTTTTATTTTCATAAACAAAATATAAGATGATTGTTCGAACTTCGAAAACATTGTTAACCTTGACTATTGACAGATTCCATTTATAGAGTAAAGGAGAGGGAGAAACTGATTGATGATGTTATTTCATTATTTTGATTATGTAACAGTATATATTTTGTTACCTATAATTTACAATCTAATTTTGTTACAGGTTAAATGACCAACAATATCAGTCAATTTATAAATGGAGTTTTTTTTTAACTGGACATTAGATTCGAAAATGTAGCATTCTTCGGAAAAAAAACTAAAAATGAGTAAAATCTCTATTTGACTACTAAATTTGTAACTATAAAAAGTAACCAAAACGTAAAAAAATTCCAAACAGTACAGTCGTAAAGTCTTTCAGACTATAAAATCCAGTGACATAAAGATTTTAGTGTGCACTGGAAACAGTTGCGAATTAACATGAAACCAAGGTTAACCAGGTGATTTTAGCCAATTGCCTCAAATTACACTTGACGGAGAAGCTTTGGAGGAGGTAAAAACCTTTACATATCTGGGCAGCATCATTGATGAACACGGTGGATCTCATGCAGATGTGAAGGCGCGATTCCGCAAATCAAGAACAGCATATCTACAACTGAAGAACATCTGGAACTCAAAACAATTGTCAACCAACACTAAGATCAGAATTTTCAATACAAATGTCAAGATAGTTCTACTGTATGGGGCGGAGACGTGGAGAACTACGAAATCCATCATCCAGAAGATACAAGTGTTTATTAACAGTTGTCAACGTAAGATACTTCGGATCCGTTGGTCAAACACTATCAGCAACAAGCTACTTTGGGAGACAACAAACCAGATTCCAGTGGAGGAAGAAAACAGGAAGAAGCACTGAAAGTGGATAGGACACATGTTGAGGAAGTCACCCAATTGCGTCACAAGACAAACACTCACATGGAATCCTGAAGGCCAAAGGAGAAGAGGAAGATCAAAGAACATATCACACCGAGAAATGGAGATAGATATGAGAAGAATGAACAAAAACTGGATAGAACTAGAAAGGAAGGCTCAGGACAGAGTGAGTTGGAGAATGCTGGTCGGAGGCCTATGCTCCATTGGGAGTAACAGGCGTAAGTAAGTAAAAGTAAGCCTCAGATTCTATAAATTATCAAAGAAACACACACTGTAAAGATATCATTTGATGTAGTCATTTGACCAATAAAAATCAATCAACAAGAAAGGGATTAGACAAGATGATAATGGTTACTACTTACATGAAATACGAGTGTTAATAATAAATTTCACGTGACATTTTACAATATAGCGTTGTATTAAAAATCTGGTTGCTCTTAATTTGAATAACCCCTTTCATATCAGAATCTACTTCTCATTTCCGTTTTCATTATTTAAAAACCAGCTAAGTTAACAGAAATTAAGCCATCCAGCTGCCTACGACATTGTCGTTTGTTAAATTTATGAGTTTTGTCAGAATCATGAACAAAGATAATTATTTCCTAAAGCCAGTTTATTTAGACAGTGAAAATATATGAGACAGTACACATATTCAATATATCTATCAATACAAGAGGCGAACAATCTTCGTTGTTTCTCACCACATTTCGGGACTTAAGTCTTTATAAAAACCATTTGATTCACTTAAAAAGAATTTAAAAGAAATTTCGGCAAGACTATAATTTATGGACGACCTTTGAATGAATCTTAAGTAACCTTGAGAAATGTTAGCCAATCAGTAAACAGTCAGCATAGAGTAAAAATATATTATACAAAAGCAAATAATTAAAGTGGATACACTTCTTTTATATGGTCCAAAAACTTGTCAATGTTAGAAAAAGGTTCAAAGCTTACAAAATTGTAATGTACAAGTTAGAGGAACTCATCTATATGGCTCCATAATAGTTGGTTTTTGGAGCCATGATAAAGTCATAAAAGCCCTCTCAGCCTCGACTACATAGCTTTATTATTGTTTTTGTGTAGTCTGGTTGTGTAAGTTTATCATTCTTATTATGGATATGTCCCTACAATACTCATACCACTGCACAGCCGAAGCTTCAGTAACATCTGCGATTATTGCAGCTGATGTTACTGATGCTTTTATTTTACAGTTGGCGGCAATTATTGTAATATGCCTTAGTCATAATCTGGATCGAGCAATAAAGATTCTTATTCTAGCAAACGTCTTCCCTCAACATATATTACATCGAAGGACAACATCATGGTAGTCTTCACAAGGTTTACAAGTCATTTAATACTCGTAATTACAAATACAGCAACTTGTTAGTAGTTTCATTTGTTGTAGCCGCTCAATTGTCAAATCTTCTCTAAAATTCTCTGTGAACCGATCGTACAAGAGCATCAGGTACTAAAATTGGCGCCGTGACCTTGAAATCCCTCAAACGCTACAGATTCACTCGTCCATAAGTTACAGTCTCGCCGAAGTTTCTTCACTATAATCGTTCTTTTGAAAAGAAATGCTTTTTTAATAGATTATTTTCATAAACACCCGCTATGACATTCCTTGGGTTCCCTAGGTATTTTTTATCAAAGTATCACTTAGACAGAACTTGATAGTACAGTTTGTGTATTTATTAAGAAGAAAACGTAAACAAATGATTAATTTTCCATGGTTTAAATCATGAGTGAATTGAAGCTAGACCACCATGGAAAACCTGGTAGGTCCTGGGTTCGAATCTCGCTCGCAAGTGCGGGATCGTGGATGCGCACTGCCACTGAGGAGCCCCATAATAGGACGAAACGGCCATTCAGTGCTTCCAGGTTTTCCATGGTGGTCTAGCTTCAAATACATTCATGATTTCAACTATGAAAAATACTGAAATCTCCATAAAACCCTTTCTGAAAATGATTAATTATAAAAAGGTATATATGTATATTATTTTCATACCATTTGATGATTTGAATATAATATCACCGGAGGTTTGTTTCATTTTATCTATTCTAGGCAATGAAGAATAATTAATGTTGAATTCTTTCTCTGTTACCACAGTATTAGTTAAATTTACATAGGAGTGACGTGAATTCGGAAGCTAAATAAATGTTTATAAAAGTAGAAAAGAAACACCATAAAAATGAGAAAAATTATAATTTTTGGAAATAAATAAAAATGAATAAATAAATGCATACATGTATAAACGATTTAATAAGATGAACAGTGAGGTATTATAATCTTGGAGACAATTATAAGATGAATTATAATTTATATCTTTTTTTTTGTATATTTAGTAGACCATTGGGACTGATGTATTTCTAGATTCACTTATCTCTAAACTTTTGTTTGACCTATAAATCGTTTTCATCAGTTAGTCAGTCAGTTACAACATAGAACTTCGTACGTACCTACATCAGTTCGAGTTGCCATACCACATTAACACAGAGATACAATTATCGATTTAAATACCATAGTGGTAGAAGTAGTAAGAGTATAAGCAGTAATCGGAAAGATTAGGGTTTGAAGATGTTATTCAAGGAGTATAATCCAGTGAAATAAATTGTTTTCATAAGTCATATTGGTTCTGATTTATCAACCATTAACCGCTTTTTTATCACTTCGGTTTGGGATCCCTTATGGTTAAGTTATTTATTGCTGTGCTGTCATATATTTTGAGTAGATTATTGTATGAGTTTTGAGTTATGACTGAAGTGAGTACAACAAAGAACTGGTATGCTTTCAATTTTCATCTACTGATAGGCTACTACGTTAGAAAAAGCTCATGACCAATAAGCGTCATGGTCTATGTTATCGCTTGATCAGTAATTAGTTCATATGTTTTGCCCTCAAATGCCCTGGTACGGCCGAGAGTGGGAAGAGTCCACTCTCCCTCTCAAAATGCTCTCACATGATCAAACGAATATATAGACTCAGCCAGGGAAGTCCTACTCACTGCCTTCTCGTGTAACAGGTGTTGTTTACGAAATTGAGAGGACGAATGTCTAGTGCTTTAACCGGGTTGGTGGACACGGAAAGTTCACCTAGGGGAGTTGGAAAACCCTGATTCCAAACCAATGGTGCACATGAGCTCCAGCATCCTGAAGGAACAAATAGCGTACTAAATACAGTTATTATATGACGTTGAGGTAAGGTGGTGGTTGAAGGTGGTCAACAAGAAACCCTTGACCCGGGTTTCGTGCAACTTGGCACTCGTCAGCAAAGTGTACCTGTAATCTTGAGGGAACTGATGCTCCCTGACGGATTCGATCCCGTGTCATTCCGTGACATTTTACATTAATAAAAAATTGTAATGAGAACACGTCTGAAAAATGTGAGTCAGTCAATCATAAACAATGCAGAACCTTGTAAATTAGAAATAAATATAACCAGAGAAATAGAAATATCTCCCCTGCACAGACTTTGATTTATACTACTGCGCGATCTAAATTGAAGGGAAGCGGAAAAGAAGAAGGCCAAAGAACATAGAAATAGAAGCAGATATGAAGAGGATGGATAGCAACTGGAATGAACTGGAAAGGATTGCGTAGAACAGGGTTGGATGGGGAGTGCTGGTGGGCGGCCTATGCTCCTCTGCGGGGGGGTGGCAGGCGTAAGTAAGTAACAATTTAAATGATCATATATAGAAATCAATTTGGTTCATAGATTAATCAGCATGAATTATTCAATTGCTTTATGAAGTGATAAGATCGGTCCACGATGTAAACTGTAAAAACTTAAAGATGAGTCGAAAATGCACATAAATCGCTAAATTTTTCTGAAAAATAATTCTCCGCTTATTACGAGGAATGTTTTGTCTATTGATATTCCTGGAGCTCAGTGAGATATAACGTAGTTGAAGGAAAGTCTGTATTTAAATTATCCGCGCAAATTAGCTTTGATCACAGTATCAACAGATAAGTGGCAATAAAATCTAACCACTTGAAACAAATACTGACGTTCCTCTAAAAGTCTTTAACACAATTGTGGATCATTATGAAGGCCTAAAAATCTCTATGGTCAATATTAAGCAAACTAAAGAACACAATGACAAACGAAGACAAACCGAACATTATCAACACGATAAATTCCACCAACTGCAAGAAACACTACACAGAACAAAGTGGTTTCCCTTCCTGTCTACGTCTCTACATGAACACTGGCTGTTACATGATACGACAAAGCATCACATATATTAAAGCATATAAACAGCTATGGGCATGAGTCCGACTGGGAAATCTTCGGAATATTGGACTGTGAGAACATCAAGTAAGTCGAAAAAATTTGGAAATCATGACACTACGATCATGAACATAATGAATTCGGTTAAATCTATATCCCAATAAGCATAATGATAAACACCAAGACCACAAATCAGGTCAAGGGAGAAAATAATCGCAAAGAACATAAAAACAACTGCCACACAATTATAGGTAACAATCGGTCAAATAACTGGTCAATAGAACAAGATGTTATTAAGTTTTAACAGATCATTACTAAACAGGAAACCCTGGACCCGGGTTTCGTGCTACTTGTTACTCGTCAGCAAGGTGTACCTGTAATTTTTAGGGAACTGGTGCTCCGTGACGGATTTGATCCCGTATCAGTCAGCTTCACAGTCAGAGATAGCATTCTATAGCATTCGATCGGCACTAAGGACCCAACACGCATGACATTGATCACCACCCAGTGATCAATCAATTGTGATTACATCTCAGTCCTACAAGAGGTCGGTCGCGGCCCCAATAGCTCATTGGTAACGTCTCTGACTGTGAAACTGGGTGACACTGGATCGAATCCATCAGGGAGCATCAGTTCCCTCAAGATTACAGGTACACCTTGCTGACGAGTGCCAAGTAGCACGAAACGCGGGTCCAGGTTTTCCTGTTGACCACCTTCAACCACCATCTTATCTCAACTTAGTGCACGCAGTGTCGAGCCACCTAGACTAATGGCCACATTGCATGATATTGATCACCACCCAGTGATCAATGAGATCATTACTCATTGATGATTTTGTCTATAGAGACAATGAAAGCCTCAAGGCTAAGAACTATTCAACTCAATAAAACAAAAAAAATCATCGCAAAACTTCTCATTCAAAGTTAGAAAATATTCTCTATCATATATAATATCTTGTTAGTATTTAATTACAAGTGATTTACTAAACAAACCTGATTACATATGATCATATACAGATAACAAATTAATAAAAGTTAAACAATTAAATAAATTATGACTTTGGTAATTATTCAATTAACCACACAGGCACATACACCTATTCTTCACTAGGTGATTAAAAAACCATTCTAATTTGATCTCATTAGAACACATATACATAAACAACGCTTAGGTTAGAGTTAGATCTGTTTGTGAAGAATAAATATACAACAACAACAACAACAACAACAAAAGTTGTTTAAACCAACTAGATGAAATCAACTCTGATTTAGCCTATAATTTATCCGGATAGATGAAAAAAAAAAATGAATGAACGAACAAAACTTGTGAAAATGGATTCATGACAGGTTTTTTTTTTAATTTTTAATATTTTGATGAAGTTTTGTTCTCTGAGTTGGATAGTTCAGTTGATTTTTTAAACACCATGTGAGTATATGTATGTGTACATCAATGTATTGAAACATTGAACATGAATGATATTAATCAAATATTACATTAAACTAGGTATGTTATTACATCATAGCAACAAAATAACATGTTACATCATTCATTATAATAATAATAATAATGAATGTTATCGTACGATAAGATTATCAATCATACATTAACTGTATACTTTGAATTGTATCATTTAATTGATTGTTTGTTTGTTCTCAAAGATACATTAAATACCTTGATGGTATTACAATTTTTGTTGGTTATGATGACATATGCTATAAAAGTAATTTATTTCGAAATATGGGACAAATGATAGAATGTATGAAACAATAATGATCTAGTTATGATCAAATGATGAGAGAGAGAAAGAGAGAGTGAATGAAAACGCAGTGTCCAACATACAACACAAATACATACAGGAAAAAAAAAGCATTTTTGATCATTCTAGTTATTTTTCTTCTTTTCATGTGAAGGATGCATTGGTAAAAAGAGAATAAAGTATTATTCTAGATCTGAAGAAAATATTCATAATGGAACAATTATATGGGGGATAAGGCTGGGAATCTTTACTTGATCTTAGTTTCGTTTTAGTTGGAATTCACCAACAAGAGGAACCGCAATTTTGATGAAACCAATGCTTCTAATGTGATTTTAACTCCCATCAACTAATGAGTTTAAATCAAATTTAACTATCAATTTATTCGAGACAAGATTTAGCTATTACAGGACAAAGATTTTTAAATAGATTGGACACTAAGTAAGGGACCAATATTGTAATGAACAGAACACTGGTTGGGGACAATCGAATGTATTTAAGCAAACATTACAGACTATCTCAGTAAATTCTGATAACCAAACAATGAACAGTCAATTTGCAAAATAACAACCAATTGTTTCAATCTTCACTGTTTCTTCTCTAATTCCATTGCTCATGCATTTTCCAGACGATTGCGCTTCATTTCAGTTCTTTCCTCATCGGTCTTCTGCCAAAATACATTCTATGTCTGACCTACACCATATACTAGTTATATGGATATTAGTAGACCACACCACAATATTATCACTGTATTTAATAGAAATAGCTCACTGATAAGTAGCAATTATCATCTAAGTGGACAATGTAATGGTTGAAAGTGATAGATACACCACATTTATTGAATATTGGAAACATTGAATAGGAAAACCATGGCCTGATCGCATAAAACCTACCCATTTTGTTTATGCAAAATATCAACCAATTGCAGATAGTTTCATTATAATGATGAGCTAGGAATGTATGATCATAAAACACTTCATTATCATACGAATATAATAAGAAACGTTATGGTGTGGTCTAATTATATCCTCATAAGTAGTATATGGTGATGGTCAGACATAGAATATATTTTGGTAGAAGACCGATAAGGAAAGAACTGAAATGAAGCGCAATTGGTAGGAAAATGCATAAACAATGAAATTAAAAAAGATGGATTGATATTTATAGAAGGAACAGTGAAGATTGAGACAATCAGTTGTTATTTTGCAAACTAACTGTTCTTTGTATGGTTATCAGAATTTAAAGAGATGGTCTGTAATTTGCGTTAAATACATTCGCTTGTCCCCACCCGTGTTCTCGTTCACAATAACGTTACATACAAAAAGGTTGAAATTTCATTTTTATTTAAAAGAAAAAAAAGGAAAACTACACTGAAAGAAGCAAATTTAACTTACATGATGATAATCGTCTAATAATAATTCAGAACCAGACAATAAATAATCAACCTTAACATAAGAAAGAAAATTGTTAACAGATTAATATGTTTTAAAGGATATGGTAATTAACAATAAGTATCAGAAGGAGTTTGGTGGAGATTTTAGTAATTTTATAGATTTGAGGTGATGAGCCAATTGAAGCTAGACCACCATTGAAAACCTGGAAGCACTGGATGGCCAACTCGTCCTATTATGGGACTCTTCGGCAGTGCGCATCCACAACCCCGCACTCGCGAGATTCGAACCCTAGGAAATACCAGTCTCGCGCCAGAGCACTTAATCGATAGACCACTGAGCCGGCCGGTATCCAACGGTGTTAATGTCTAACTTCAACCGATCCACTAAATTGAGCAACCATTCACCAATGTCATCAGTGAGTTGATATCTCCCAACAGACCTGGTTGAACTCTACTGGTCACTGCTTCTTAATAGAACTCCAGGAAATACCTCATGGAGCCACTCACTAGTGAGCATATGATCGTTATCAGAATGGGGTTTGGTGGAGATTTTATTAATTTTATAGAGTTGAGATCATGAGTCAATAAGTATAACAATTTCAGTAAAATTCTCTAAGAAATGATGGGACAGTAGTTATGTGGTTCAAGTAAAATGTTGTAGGATCAAAACAATCGATTCATAAAATTGTGTCTGAATAGTCAGGATAAATTCTATTCAAGACAGACTAGAATCTGTCTCATAGTCACATGGACGTGAGAAACGAAAGCATTGGAAGGCTTTTATAAATAGCCGAATTGTTCATCTGTCTAATGTCAGTGCCCACATATTTTTGTCAGGATCACACTAGTATTATGCATAATTATGCATGATTTATGTAACTTTAGATCCAGCGATTGGTGTTAAGATTCTTACGCATTATTACTACTTTTGTTCTAGCACAACAGGTTGGGGTCAAGCGTTTGAACATATGTGAATTTGTAACTCATTAGGACTTGAAGATTACTAAATCATTATTATTGTCATGTATGATATGATGTGCTGAGGATTGAAAAAAAAACACGAAACCTTGCTTCAATGTTTCACCTTTAGATCATCACCTTTACAGATTCTGTGGATAAAACAGATCACATCAAAATGATTCTTGGTAATCAAATGGAAAACTTAAAAACGATATTGATGGCTAAACATGAGATACTGATAACTAGACAGCATTAGATTGTATGAAAATCATAGTATCATTAAAATCAAACATACATCTTCATATGGCAAATGGAAGACGTTTCCGTGACTATTCGATAAACTGACTTCGTACCTGAGAATATTCTTTCGTGGAATGTTCGCTCTCAATAACTTTTGTAACTTAAAGCGTAATGTTAAAGTGTCTAAAGTGACGATTACTAAATTTTAATTCTCGATGAGAATAACTTAGGCCTCTCTATAATGCGGAGATATTCAGTTAATCAGATAGGTGAACTATTCTATGGTGTTTTGATTCAAGTTATCATAGGTATCGCGGTAGAACAGGAAATGGACAAGAAAAAACACATGATTTTCACAGTTTGACATATTAAAATCGGGATTCAACGTCTTTAAAAATGAAGAAACATGAGATGTGAAGCTTTATTAATTAAAAGTGTTGATAGATACTTGACATAAATTGTTCTATATCAAATTAATCATGATGGCACAAATGGCTGATAAGTTATATTTAATATATTAAGTCGGACAAACTGATAGTTTCCTCAGGAAAGATGCTTCACCGATAATCATAAACTAGCTAGATGGCTGGAAGTCATCAGCCAGAAACCTCAGATCTAGGTTTTGGATTAATTAACACTAGTTAATAAGGCGTTCCTGCAATCTTAAGGAGACCAACGCTCACTGTGGGGTTAAAATCCAGCTTCATAGACTGGGTGCTGTTAGTTCGAATACTACAGAGTACCAGTTCCATCAAAACTGAAGGCATACCTCATTGATACTAACATAAACCTAGGTCCAGGGTTTCTAGCCGACTTCTTCACATAGTGCACATGATATTTGGTCTATTAGACAAGTAGGGATATTATAACTTGGTTGATAGAATTCGATAAAGAACTGGACAAACATGACAATCACCATTGAGTGATCAAACAATGGTGGCCGTAAAGTCTTTATTCTAATAAAAGGTATCCAGAGACAGATTCGCCCAATTACACTTTTCGTCTTTAAAACTGCCAATCAAACACAGGAACCCAGACGAATTCATTATAAATACAGATCAAATATATTTGGGAATCGAACAGTAACTGGATTCAAACGTAATAGTCTAAGGTTAACAAGGTCATTATGAAAGCTGCTGAGGGTCTATGATTCGATCGCTCTTATGTAGAGAAACTTGTGGGTATGAGTAGCTGAGGAAACTTAAACGAGTGAGAAACATCTATTTATTGTGATTCCTTGGTTTTCTCTGGTTGATAACAATTTTACTGATGATAATTTTTGTTATTTAGTGGATCATATAAACAATCACTAGGAAACACAATTCGATCATGAATTTTTTTCAATGGACAAAACATTAATTCATGTGATTTATCACATTTATTAATGTAACTGTTTTAAAAGATTGTCATCACCGAGACTATATGTCTAGACAATCGGTTAGTATCATCGGGATTTGTAAGCCCGAATCACCGATTAGCGAATGGTAAACATATGATACAGTGGTGCAATTTTTGTAACGTTTGAAAAAAAAAACATTAAGTAATGACCAATTTTATGTCCGTCTAGTTATCCAGTGCCTATGGAATTCTACCGGTTGTAATGCGAACACGAGTGCGAGTGAATCAACATCGCATTCACAATGTTAAGATGTTAAGTTGCATGATATAATTTCTTACTGATCGGCAATCTATACACAAGGTCTTACTGGATTCTTGAAGGACCTAATACTTAATGTGATTCGTAAAAGCGTCGCTGAGTTTCACAATCTCGAACGCTACTCTGAAACTATATAGCCTAGGAATGATCTCCGTAGGAGGCTGCATGGCGCCACGACTGAGCTCCAGAATCACGTCTCAGAATGTGAACCTAGGTGAGGCGGGTCAAAATGACACAAGGAACATCAGGTCACTGAAGTACGCAGTAACCCGTTGCTATCGATTGCTGACCAGCATGGGAACTACGTTTATGGACGCCTACCGACTAACTCAAAACACACATCTACGAATACTTATTCTCACAATAAATGATAAAATTAACTTTGGCTTACTCCACCGATAACCTCTTTGTAATCATCTTCACCATTATCATTATCTCTGTTCACATGATTATTGCTCAATACTTGACGCTGATTATTGGGAGATTTAGTTCCTGTATCTCCACCATTCGAATGTACGCCATTATCATAATTATCTGGAGAAATTTTGGACGGTTTCTGAAATAAGGGCGGTTCATTACAAACACCACCAGCACTTCGACTGCTGTTAATGTTTTCAACGACAGTTCTTTGATTCGAATTGATATCTTTAAAAAATAAATAAACATTCGTGAAGTTAAAAAAGAAATCTGGATAGAAAAATAAGAAATATTCTATTTTTAATTATTTCGATGGACAGTTGTTAATGTTACTTATCCGTTAGGTATCAGTGTATGAACTTCATTAAAAGCTACACTATTTGGGTGATAGATAAATAGTAAAACTGATACACTTCTGTACAAACTAAAGTACGTAGTCGAGTCCGTTGAATAATAAGTAGCTGACAGTAAAAAACGTCCTCTATCTATTATGCTTTCAGTAGATGCATAAGGAATCCCAGTCTGAAAATGTAGAAGGATGTGGATAGAAAGCTTATCGATCACCCAATTCACCATACTTCGTAATGGCATATAGAGAGAGATAGAATGTACAAAATCACTAGATCATGAGTTTTTAAAAAAATAACATCCATTGTTGTAGGAATACAAACACGACAACAGTTAGTCAGTTATAATATGAATAAGTATAGATTTAACACAGTAAGAAAAGAAAACATCAAGATGAGGAGTAAAGGAGAAAATCCCGTTTTAATTGTAGTGGATACTAAACCATGAAGGAGACAGTTTAAACATACAACCATCCAACATCTTGAACTATTAATGATGACGAGTATTTCTCGAGCTTCAACCAAGAAGTCTGCAATTTTCGACACAATTTAAACGAACAGTCAATGAGTTCATAGGTTGATACTATGTACTGTTTGATTAGCACACTACTATGTTTTTTTCTAACATACTCGTGTTTCATGCAATATTGTACATAAGTAAATGTAACACATACTCTGACTACCAAAGTTAATGGAAGCTTGTAGCCATAGGTATATAAACTTAAATATATACAGCATATTTTAAACATGACTTTTCTGACAGCTGGAAATACTAAAGACATGTCAACAATAAGTAACTACTCCATACTTCTTTTCAACTTCTTATTTATGCCTGTTACCACTCGTCGAGGAGCATAGGTCAACCACCAGCATTCTCCATCCAATTCCGTCCCGGGAAATCCTTTCCGGTTGCTTCCAGTTGATATTTACCCTTTTCATTTCTGCTTTCGATTCCCGATGCAATATATTCGCTGATCTTCCTCTTTTCCGTTTACCTTCATGATTCCCAGTTACGGCTTTTCGTGATGCGATTTGGTGATTTTCGTAATGTATGTCCCATCCACTTCCAGAGTCTTTTCTTAATATCCTCGTCAGACGGAAGCTGGTTTGTTCTTTCCTACGGTTGGCTGTTGCTGATGGAATCCGGTCAACGGACATTGAGTATCTTAAGTAGAAACTTGTTTATAAATACTTGTATATTTTTGATGGTGGTTGTGGTAATTCTACAAGTCTCATTTCCGTACAATAGAACTCCTTTGCCGTTTATATTAAAGATCCTGACTTTGATGTTGGTTAACAGTTGTTTTGAGTTTCATATGTTTTTCAGCTGTAGGAATATTGCCTTTGATTTTCCAATCATTGGCTTTACGTTTGCATCAGATCCTCTTATACTTATTTTCAAGAAAAACTCAAAAACAGTACTATCTTCACATGATGAACGCTACAGTTAGAAATAATGATATCTGGATCCACAATAATGAATAAGTGATATTTTTAACTTTCATCAATTTGTCAATGTCTCAGGACAATAAAATAAACAAACGAAATACCTACTATGATATTGTCAATAATTCTTCAAAATGTATACACAACCTTCATTAAAATCACAGGCATGTATCAACAAGAAAACCACATATAAATGTCATACAACTATGAAAATACTAAATCTCCACAAAAACCCCTTTTGATAATAATAATGATCATATGCTCACTAGTGACTGACTTCGAGAGGTATATCCAGGAGTTCTAGTGAGAAGCAGTGACCAGTGGAGTTCAAACAAGGTTTGTTGTGAGATATCAACTCACTGAAGACAATTAGTGAACGGTTGCTCAACTTCGTGGATTGGTTGAAGTTATACATAAACACCATCGGATGCCGTGTCAGTGGTCCATCGGTTAAGTGCTCTGGCGCGAGACCTGGTAGGTCCTGGGTTCGGATCTCGCGAGGCGAGGTCATGGATGTGCACTGCTGAAGAGTCCCACAATAGAGCGAGTTGGCCATCCAGTGCTTTCAGGTTTTCCCTGGTGGTTTAGCTTCAATTGACTAACGCTTTCAACGATGAAAATATTAACTGAAGTAGACATAGAATAACAAAACAATCTTACTTGTAGTGGAAACATCAACTAATTCAGCGACACGAGCTAAATGATGTACCCAATCGGACATAATTTTATTATTTGCTGCTATAAAATAATAAATTCTTTTATTTCCATTAAATAATGTTGAAATTGAAAATGCACATGGTTGACCAATATTAACATTTTCAACAATACATTCACAATGCTCTAAATCAACACGACCTAGAAGAATTAAGAAAAAAAATTAGATAACGATACATAAGTTGAATAATATTCATTTAATTATTTGTACACATAAATATCGGTACAAAGGGACACCGAATACATATGCGACACACAAATCTCACTTGATTTGTGTGAGGGCTGTGATACTGCCCAGGTGCCCAGACCGAAACAGGTGGTTTTCTTAGGGGACCACACCCAGAGCCTTTGACCTAAAGATTCGATCCACAAGGCAGTGGAGCATCGTGGGGAGATGAAGTTCAATGGTAGCCGGTGACCAAATAATTGGTTCATACGCTATTTGTCCCCTCAATATACTGGAGCCCATGTGCACCATTGGTTTGGAATCAGGGTTTTCCAACTCCCCTAGATGGACTCGCCGTGTCCACCGACCCGGTTAAAGTGCCAGGCCTTCGCTTTTCGTCCTCTCAATTTCGTAAACAACACCTGTGACACGAGAAGGCAGTGTGTCGAACTTCCCTGGCAAAGGCTATATACACGTGGCCATATGAGAGCACTTCGAGGGGAAGAGCAGACTCTCCCCACTCTCGGCCGTACCAGGGCATTTGGGGGCAAGTTGAATACAAATTGAACAACATTTTTATCTAGGAAAAAACTAGTTCGTAACAAAATCTTAGGGGGCTCATTATCGTGTCTAGCCCCTTCATGAATATGTGCCTAACATCAGTTATGATGCCTGTTCTAGATAAATGAGCGACCTTAGACGAATATCCAGTGATATGATCAGTTGAAACAATAGGATAATAAAAGCAGGTATCGACAAGTATGACTAGTAACCCTTGTAGTATCTTATATCTTACCAAGCTAAATAAATATGAACAGACAGTATGTTGCAAATGACTAATAAGAATTACTATTTAACTGAAATATGGATATTTAATCAACATGTTATAATGGGACATGGAAGCATGACATGAGTTGATCGGTCCAAGATCAAAATGAATCCTTCATTAAGATTATTCAAGGCATACAGTAAAATGAATCAAATATGGAGTAGAGAAACAGCTTTATTTTATTAACCAACAGCACAAAATGTCCTATTTGTAATTTAATCACATTCTAACATCATGTACATGAACAAAATTTATGGACAAATAAGACCCATCAAAATCAGTCAAAAAGTCCTGATTTCAAAACGATCATGCATACTAGAGGAAGAATGTACAAATACATTTTGGCTCTTTAATGTTTCATATTAACTCGGCGCCCAAATATTGTGAAGCTATTCGATTAAATTTAGACGAAAGTTCTTAAAAATGATACATACTGATTGTATACGTAAAATTTCATAAAGCGTTAGTATGAACTGCATGTCTATGAGTTTGATATTTGTATATTCAGATAGCTGTGATTGTTAGTGGTGGCGTGGTAGACGAAATTGACCAACACATAGTGAAAACCACAACAGTTCATATCAATCTGGAAGCATTTTGGTGTCATCGCGATGTAATTTTCAGAGTGTTAATATCGATAGTGCATAGGGTGAATTTTCAATGATCCTAACATTATGTAGCGATAATAAATGAAGCTACTATTTTATAGCTGAAAATCAGCATATAGTATATTCTTAGTGTAAATTCGACGAATTGTAAGTTTTCGGTTGATATATTATTTATGAATATGGTTCTAATATGGGTTCCATACGATTTGAACAATCATTGGCTATGAAGAAGTTGCTTTTTCATTTCTTTTCTCCTAGAAAATTGATAAACTGATTAAGATTTAAAATGTCACCACTTATTCACCATTTTCGACATATTCATTATTCCTAAAATTCATGTACTCCCTGTAAAGTCCTGTGTTTCTGAGTTCAATCCAGTTTCTAGATCACTCAAAAAGTCGTACGTACAAAGATTTCCGATTGAACATTTAGTTTAAACATTTGAAGACATTCACAAAAACAAAATAAAAATTACGAATGTTTATAGATGAGGTGGGTAGATACAAGGGTTTCCATTTTGTAATATGCAATTTTCATCATGTCAAGTTGTTGAGTTAAGATCCCTTAAAAAGTTTAATTAAAATCGGAAAGGAATAAAAATAAAGAAAAATTCAAGTTTTAACTTTAAGCAACAACATCTCAAACTTCTTTAATAAAACAACCAAAGTAAAAGATAAACATTACCGAGTTCCCGGTAACAAATACTTCTTGATAAACAAGATTTCTTTATAGTGTAGTTAAATAAAGTCCAAATGATCAACAAATAAATTACATAGAAACAAAGGATTAAAATTATTATATGATTACATCAAAGCTTTAATTATCAACTCATACTCAAACCTTGAATGTTATTTACTTAGAATTGTTTATTTGAATTTTCCCATCGATGTTTAGGACTGCAATTGATCAGTCCCAAATAGGACGAAACTCGAGTCCTCGATTCCAGTGCTAGCGACCATCCATCTTTGCTTACAATGTTTGTGAATTAAGGCTAAATCGATGCAACACGCACAGTAATACACATATAGCAATAAGAGATTGATCAATTGCAGTCCTAAACATCAATGGGAAAATTCAAACAAACAATACTAAGTGAATTGAAACTTTACTACATTGCACAAGCAAGTGGCTATTAGGGCTCAGTAGCTGAGAGAATAATGTGATGGCGTTTGAAACGAAAGGTACTGGATTCGAGTCCCAGAGTGAACATCTATTCTGAGATGGAGGTACATCCAGCTGACGAGTCTCAAATAGGACGATACGCGCGTCAAACTGGATTCCACTGCTAGTCACTATCCATCTTTGCTTAAATAATATTGATTTTTGATAAAATATTACCAAGCATTGAGGTCGGCTCATCACGTCTACTAAAATATCTATATATATTTTAACTCAGATATTTTGGATACGCCAGATACTTTTAAAAAAACAACAAGCAGTTTATGGTCCGAAATGATGTAGAGAATAAAGTAAGAATATACTATTTAGGTATAAATCACAGTGTAAAACATTTTATCCTTTATGAGATATAATGATTAAGTTAAGCGTTATTACGTAACACTGTGAAGTTGTAGAAAAGATGTAATCAAATAATGATACACTACATAAAAACTAGTTTAATTCAGAATAAAACTTTAATATAGTTTCATTAATAACAAAAAAAAGTGTTTATACTCTAACAACATCCGCTTCATCAACTGTAAACGAGAAAAAAAACTATTGTTTACCAGTGAAACGAACAATCACTATTATTATTATTATTATTATTATTTGATGTAATTTACTTGAAATAGTTTCATATATTAAGTTAATTCATAAAGCATCTGCTTCCCTTTAACATTAAAACAAGAAAATGTAGTGGGATAATTCCGAATGCCTTGGTACAGCCGAGAGCGGGGAGAGTCTGCTCTCCTTCTCCAAATGCTCTCACATGGCCACGAGTATATAGCCTCTGCCAGCGAAGTCCTACTCATTGCATTCTCGTGCCACAGGTGTTGTTCACAAAATTGAGAGGACGAAAAGGGAATGTACGGCGCTTTAACCGGGTTAAGGGACACGGTAAGTCCACCTAGTGGGGATGAAAAATCCTGATTTAAAACTGGCGGTGCACATAGGATCCAGTATTCTGAAGGAACAAATGAAATATGAATCAATTGTTGGTCACCGTCTACCATGGAACTGTATCTCCTTAAGATGCTCCACTGCCTTATGGATCAGATATTTAGGTCAAAGGCTCCGAGTATGGTCCCCTAAAAAAACAACCTGTTTCGGTTTGGGCACCTGGGCAATATCACTTCCCTCACACAAATCAACTGAGATTTGTGCGGCGCATGTGTATTCGGTGCCCCTTTGTACCAATATTTATGTGTTCAAATAAATAAATAAGTGGGATAATTAATCTGGCAAAATATGATTAGTTGCACAACTTCAAGTGATGCGAAAATAAGACAAACCTGGTTAGTTTTTAGGTGATTAAAGGTATTCATCAACAAGAATACCTGAATTTAGTTTTCGTGCTATCCGGTACTTTTCAGTAAGGTGTGCTTCTAGCGACTATAAGATTAGATCCTGTGTCAACCACCTTCATAGTTTGGCATATTACAACTGAGCTACTTGATCAGAGAATGACCACAGCCCTTAAAACTGAAATGTTTACAATTGATTGGTCACTGAATAGTGATAAATTTCATGTTTCTCTAGTCCTTTATGATGTCACTAGTGAGACTAGTCTTAGTGTCTTGACATTGAGTTCACTAGATCGAGATGTTAAGTGATCGGATGTAGTAGTAGCCCGAATAGCACATTGGTAACGTGTCAAACTGTAAAACTGGATGGTAGGCAGGTTGAATTTATCAGAAAATATCAGTTCTTTCAAGATTACAAATATACGAAACCTAGATCCAGTGGTTCCGGTCAACATTAAAACACACTCCATGCGATATTAAGCCGCTCATAATAATAGGTTATATTGTAACTTGATTGACAGATCTCGATCAGCACTAAATGAATACAATTAATTGTCTTTCAAATATAAATAATAAGAGATTCGTATCAATCAAAGGTTCATCGTTAAAAACGTTTGATTTAACAAGCATATATATAATACAAACAAGATAAGCACTTATAGAACATTGAAATCAAGAATTATGTTAAACATCTTGTCTAGAGTTAAATATTCCACATAATTTCGATATCTTATACACTTTTAATTAAATTTAGTTAAAAGTAGGAGAATACATACTGTTCACCATGTAGATGAAATGAATTGATACATGTATAACATTAAATTACTAGTTAAATTCAGGTCAGGTAAGCTACAACGTAGGACCAGGCACATATATGCATCGGTCCAAGTTGCCATACCTCGTTAGCACAACAAGAGGAACACCGGATTCATAGTAGTTAATCTAGTGTTGGTAGTAGTATATAAATTATAGGTTGTATATAAGGATATAGTACAGGAAGGAAGAGAGATATGAAGCAATTTTAGTCTCAAGGTTTAAGGGAAGATAAAGAGTGTATACACCTACGCCATTGT